TCATTGAAATGCCATACGATTTGAATCTTAGGACACTTTCGCTGAAGAAATTTAATCAATTTGTAAAACAAGGGTTTGGCCGACAGAAACGGTTCCCGAGCTTTCAATCTGTCAATCATATCGTCGTCGATATCCAACTCATAGACGGTGTCGTAAATGCATCGCTGGAACTGCTTTGACACGCATTCGTGTCGGGATCTGCTCTCAAAGCCGTCAAACTCTTCGTCGTATGAATGATATGACAGTAAAAGTCGGACAAAATCATCGCCGAAGCGGTCGAAGGAGTCTTTGGCGTAGATTTGAGTCTATATTTAAGGGACAATGCGTTTGAATGTGTGTTACAAATGTATATCCAATTGATTACCTCTTGAGTACTGATGGTGTGATTCCTCCGGTTTTGTTGATACAGTCTTCGGCACCAATGACTGAATCGTGTCATTGTTTTGTATGCAAACACTCGTTAATAATAAATGTATTGATTAATTCATTGACAGAAACACCAAAATTATATTGATTTCAATGAGAAGGCAATCATTAAATCAAATCATAAACAATGTTATGATTGGAGGCAAACATTTGGCTCACAAAACAGTGACATTAAGTTTGCAGTTTGTGTTATGCAGTGAACATGTAATGCACTCAACATGTAATACACTCAACATGTAATGCATGCAAATAATTATACAATACATTCAATGTATTCATAAAGTTTTAAATACAATTTATTAATCATAAACAATAAGTTGAGACACAATTAACTCCATAAGAAAGCATATAAATGAGATGACAATAGCCATGAGATAGGGTCCGAGCGCTGGTCTCCATTTGACCACATATTCATCAAATTCATAATCAATTTTATCGATCATCTCTTCGTCGGGATTAGCGAAGAATTTGGCCGCCCTTTCCATTATCACTGACACAAACTTATCATGTAATCCCGTCTCAATCACATCGTATAGTCTGCAAATTTGGATGCAATTTTATCAAATGATCATGGTCATATTCCAGTATTCATTTAATTAGTCTTACATTTGGTTGTATTTATGGCCAATAAATGGATCCAAATGTTTGCTGTAAACACACCCTTCGAGACTATAGATATAGCTCTGGGAACTAATGTGTGATAGTTTGTGGCCAATAATTGATGTCTGGATGAGCTTTGAGTGACCAAATTGTGATATAATTACGTGATTCTTATTCACAATGATTTTCTTATAAATGTCTCGTTTATTAGATAGTAATCTGATTTCGTCGGTAACTATGTCTTCGTCCGTATTATTAAACCCTCTGTTTATCAGCTCTTTCTCTAATTTAGTTCCCGATCTCTGTATGAATTAAAATTATTATCATTTATTATAATAAATAGTTTTAAAATTTTACATTTATTAAACTCAAACTCTCGTATGAATAGTGAACCAATGGTTTTATATCCTTTCTATCGTTCAAATCATCGATTGAATCAATTAAAGTGAACGGAGTATTGATTATTGTCGACAGTATTGCTGATGAAAATGACGCCAATATTAGGAAATTTAATAATATATTCAATGAATACAATGAAACGTGATTTTTCTTTTCCGATTCNACAGTATTGCTGATGAAAATGACGCCAATATTAGGAAATTTAATAATATATTCAATGAATACAATGAAACGTGATTTTTCTTTTCCGATTCCTTAAGTTTTACTGTAAAACAATTTATAAATCACATAAAATTGAAAATATAATTTACTTCCTAAATATGAAGCGCCGAAAAATTTCCAAATCATTTCATAGTAATAACCAAACGATAAGATTATGTTTTCATTTGAAAGTTCTTTGGGTTTCAATACGAAAACTAACGGCAAAAACAGTATTGAAATCAAAACACAAATCCAAATCTAATAAATTAAATTTGTTAATAAATTAAACTAATTTATAGTCAATTAATTTAAATATAAATCAATAAAAATACATACGTATGGATCAAATATATAAAGAGCGGTCGTATAAGAATCCGAAGTAATGAAGGGATATATGGATCCGATTATAGAGATGAGTGGTTGGACTTTAAGCTGTGGACTCATATGAGTAAATGTGCCGATCGTTTCAGTGACCGGCGAATTGTCGGTCAAAAATAATTGACTTTTCTGTTCGGTTAGAAATGAATTACAAAAATATAAGATTCAATTAATTTATCGAAGAAATACATTATTATAAAGTAATGCAATATAAGGTCCGATGTGTTGACCATTCACTACTGATAATGTGTCCGATTCTGCAAATATGGGAATCGCTCTGTAATTTAAACTCAACGTTAGTTTCGGTTATGATTTGTATATTTAATTGCATTTAATGTCTTAAGAAATTATAAAACTGACGCAAATTGAGTCCTTTTAACCAATTCTTTGATTATAAAGAGAAACGGAGAGCAGAGATGAGCCATAAATGCGTCCTTTAGCTACAGTACATAACCATTAAAATAAATATTGAGTTAAACATTAAATATTTGACCAAGGAGATAATATTTAATTTCTAATTATGAAAATGTATTACTGCTCCGCGATATGTGAAAGTGATGTTTCCCTTAACTTCAAAATCATATCCAAAACTTTGCGGTCTTTCATCCGTGAGAAGCGAGCCGTCAATGCATTCACTATTTGCTGATTTGGCTATTACTGACATTTTGGGCTAAATATTTACAAATTAAGTAAATTTTTAATTTGAATATAAGTTTTCTCTCATATATAAGTTTTCATTAAATCTATTGACATCTTATAACACCAAAATGTATTGAGATTTAAGCATAAAAATGCATTTATAATTGCCAACAATTTGTTGGGTGCAATGTTTGCAACATTAATAATTTCATAATTATAATGAATTAATTTTATGTGAAATAACATTAATTATAATATTTAGAATTTAGTTATAAAGAGAAACAAAAATATCAGCACATATTAAAAGAAAGTTAATTATTATTGATTAGAATTATATTTAGAAAACTATAAATAACCCATAATTATTATCTGCCCATAGATAATATGTTAATTTAGTAATAAATAATTGCTAAATAAAAGTACCCTGAACTTAAAGTATTTTAATTAAAAATATGATAAATTTTAATTTAATAAAAACTATTTTAATTTATGAATAAATAATGAATAATAAAATCACATTTTGGTATTACAGCAAAAAACTGAAGTAAAGTATTGCTAACAAAAAGTTTGAAACAAACCGTAAACTAACTCAAAAAAGGGTCACAAAAAACGGTGCTTTCATTCAAAGCTGGGATTCGTTTGAAAGTCTCATCCATTGAAGCATTGATTGAATCGTGAAATCAATTCAATTGATTGTCACTGAAGTGGATGTGAAGTAAGCGTTGAATGACTTTACGATAACTACTTTTTTGATCCAAACTTTAATTCAAACCCAAAATAGACCACAAAATGGTTAAAAGACGCAAAAGCTATCCACAAATGCCGACACCAAAGACCAGAAAAATGGACGCAAAGACTGCGGACAACGCGCCCGAAGGCGGCACCGGAGACGAGTCGACAGTGATTGTGGTGACCGACGAAGACATGATCATAAAGTGTCCGCAATTATATTTGTCCGATCAGTTCGCCGACATTGTCATCAAAGTGGGCAATGAGTTGTTTCCGTGCCATAAACTGGTCCTCCGATCGCAGTCACTATTCTTCGACAGACTCTTCGCGACTGAAAGCCAGGAATCGACTCAAAAACAACTCGAACTCAAGGATATGATTCCGCGTGTCTTTCGTTTACTCCTTCAGCTCCTCTACACCTCACGTCTCGATCTTAATGGCCTGAAGCCGGCCGATGTCATCGCACTCTTTGGTCTCCCTCTCTCTCTCTCTCTCTCTCTCTCTCTCTCTCATTAATACAGTCTTCACTGAATCGACAGATATCTTGAAGAAGTGATCAGACGGTTGACGACAAACGTTGGGATAAGTGTCCAAATAATTGAGACACACTTTGGAGATGAAGGACCCGAGACGTGCCTTCATTGATAAGTCCAGTATTGGCCACACATTTGATTCGTCTATTAATGGCCCGATTTTCG